TATAGTTGTTGTGTGTGGTGTTGAACAGTTTTCTTCCCTTCTTTCTTGTGTTTTTCATTTGTGGATTTAGTCTTTTTGCTCTGACTCGAGTCTTAGGCTTCTTTGTATAGTTCGATTGATCAGTTTGTCCATAGTTACTGCTTGAATTGGCAACATCAACCATAGTTATTTTGCGCTGATCCCTCATGTACTGTTAATAATGTTATACCTGAAACATGTCAGCCACAAAGAGACAATCAACAAACAACTACATATATCTCCTAATTACTTAAGAAAACTTTAAATGGATATCATGCAGTCAACAATAAGAAATTATTACACTACCATTAAAGAATAAAGATATCTGTTATTTGGTTTTTCATTGAGTTTTCCAGAAAAAAACTAAAGGTGGTTATATGTAAGGGTCTAACACATACAACTTGACACCAGACAAATTACAGAACTAGGGATTTCAGAAGAAGAAGTAGACGGAGGAAGGAAACAACAGAGAGAGGAAGGAGAAGATAGAAAATTTGGTGAGAAGTATCATTTTTCTTTTTTGGGCATCATTCTATCATTAATCTCTTATACTTGGCGTGCGTACTGTTATAAGCACTAATTCATCAAACAGAGAAAGTTACTCAAGCTCAGGGATAGACAATCAATTATGTAATGCTTTTCTAGGATCAGTATGCCAAACCTCTGGTGATAGTTCTTACTCAAGCTCAGGGATAGACAATCAATTAATTGAATTTCCTCACTTTACCAGGCGAAAGAAGAGGACAGCACCAGTACACTGTTAGGTGGAATAACATAGCATTAACAAGCTGGATTCCCCAACCATGGGAGAGGTATCCATTAGCCCATGATGCTATGCTTTTATTAATTCTCATCAAAACAGGTATGCAATTAATCACAGAGAATTTTGAAGAGAATAGTGGAAGTCCCAAATACCTCATTCACTCATTGGGAGTTTCCCCTCCCGAAAACAAAGATGCAGCAAAAGAAAGTCTTTCACAATAGCACAGGTGCAAGTGCAACCTCACTAAAAAAGGATATTACTCTTTGCAACATCGATCCAAACCCTGAAACAGCTGAAAAATTATCTAAAGTCAAAACACCAGTTAAGGTCCTTGTCTTCCTTGCAAAATATCATCACATCATCTGGCACAATTTTGAAGAAACTTCCTATCAGCTTCTAACTCCAACAATTTTCTAGAGAAATATTCCATACCAATTGCAAAAGGGTATGGAGACAGAGGTATTTATTGCATTAAACCCCTTTTCCCTTAAAGTAACCACATAAGGCCTCCCATTAATAATAATGGAGAATTTAGGTGATGATAGACACACCATAATCCATTTGATGATTGCCTTTGTAAAGTGTGAGCCCCTCAGCACTTGTTGAATAAAGTCCCGATTTACAAGTATCATAGGCTTTTCTAAATTCATTTTAATCATGCATTTAGCACGCAGATCCATTCTCCCTATGTTAATTTCTCACAAGGTCTTTAAAGATTAAAGCGTTTGACATAATGCTCCTACCCTCCACAAAGGATAGCTACTAATCAAACCTCCCAAGACCAGTGGCATCCTGTTAGTGATAATCTTTGTAATCACATTATAAATGACATTACAACAACATTATAGCGGTTAGTTTTTGGAACTAAGGTAATGTTAGTAGAGTTAATCCTCCCTAGCAACTTACCTCTTAGAAAAAATTATATATAATAGCAGGACAGATATTCTCTCTTAATATCTCTTTAATGACGTATGTGAATCCATCTTGTCCAAGTGATTTTTCATAAGGAATAGAAATATTTACAAGGTTTTAAAATATTACCATGTAATTGATCCAAAAATCCATCGCTCCTTTCTTCCTCATCTCTTTCAAACCAAATGCACCCTAACATTTATTCTTATAAACCTTTTTTCATTTTTCTTGTCATCTCGAAACAATTTTTACAATGTAAAAAAAAGAAAAGAGTCTTTCAAACTTGTGCCTAATGGGCACAAATTAAGGGTAGGCTACATATTAAGGATATATTTAACACATATTTTTATCATTAATTTATCTAAAAAGTTATAAAAATAAATTTTATTTTCAATACCAATGCTATGTGGAATGATTTAATTAATCGGTTAATAAAACTTAAATCAATTTTTATATTTTCCATACAAATTAATGGTGAAAATGTATAATAGTTATACTTTTAACTTATGCAACTAGTGGACAAATTAAAAAATTTCATTTAAGGCTTATTTAATATAATAATTAAAATTTAACATATAATCGAATAGTGAGTGGTGGATGATAAAAGTGAGTAATGAATAGTTAATAGTGAATTGCTATTGATATAATTGTTTAGTTATACAATGATTAAT